TTTTTTAAAATTGGGGGGGGGGGGGGGGGGGGAATGTCTCTTTATATACTTACACTGGGTATAGACATGAGGCAGGACTCTGCCTCTGCAGGTTCCCCAAGCCTTAACTGTACCACTGCCTGGGCCAGCTGGTTCAAGTACTGGTCTTCTTTGTGTAGCAGTGGATAGGACCACTTCAGCCTGCTCAGAGCATGTTCTGGAATATACAGATATTTTATAAGCATTTTCTGTAATATATGCTAGCATATATTGTACAGGTTCATAGCTAGAGGGGGTTGGGGGGGGGTGAAAGAACCTCCCTTTTCCATGTAAAACGTTATCTAGGTAAATGAATGTTTTTCAGTGAAAGGTCTGATTTTTCAGAAAAAGAACTCCCCTTTTGGAATTGCTGTCTACGGGCCTGTTGTATATTAGATAAATTTACACATACGTACGTACAAGCATATATTTTGGTCTATGTTGGGACAAACCATCTCCAGATCAATATCCCTTTCTGTTGTCCTGCATGGAGGGGAGGGGAGGGGTTATGGGGGAAGGAGGGGGTTTGTGTGTGTGTGTGTGTGTGTGTGTGTGTGTGTGTGAGAGAGAGANATTTTTTTTCCTTCTTTTTGTCTGTACATTTGACAGCTTTGCTGCCTTGTTGAAATTGCTATCTACGGGCTTGTTGTATATACGATAAATTTATACATACGTACATACAAGCATACTGTATATTTTGGTCTATGTTGGGACAAACCATCTCCAGATCAATATCCCTTTCTGTTGTCCTGCATGGAGGAGAGGGGTTATGGGGGAAGGAGGGGGGTTTGTGTGTGTGGGGGGGGGGGGAGTTGCCATCTCTGGCTGAGGACGGTTAAAATTACAGACCAAATGCGTTTTCTTTAGGAACTTTAATGTTTCAATATCTTACTATGCTAATTTTTTCCCCAAAACAATACTCCATTCCAATGCACCCATTGCTTTTAATGCAGTTATATTTGTCATCTGAATTATTTTGCCTTAATTTTATATTATCACAGATTCTTTATGCTCAAACTGAGTTGTAACAAGACACTTTGGCCTGACTCTTGCATTCCTAGAATTACAGTTTCTGATATAAACATTTATTTCCAAGAATCTTCAGATCAGCAAGCAAAACATTATCACCTAAGCTGTAGCATGGGCACAGGAGAATTCAAACAAAAATAAGTATACGTATACCTTCCCTTTCTCCCTTTCTCTCTCGTCCTTTCTTTCTCTCTCTCTATCTCCCTGTCTGTTTTGACTGCCAGTTGATCTAATTATTCTTTATCAGTTTCTTTTTAGCACCTATTTACTCAATTATGGGTGCTCTATTTCAATTTTTTTCTAGGATTTAAAATCACATTACAAATATTTCTATTTGGAAAGTTGATCATGGAAGCCAGAGTAGAAGAGGTGATCCAGAGAAAAATCTTCAGGGACAGGAGTCTTGGGATCCTATTTTTACCTGCCCTCAACTATCAACAGTGACCAATGAAGATAATGAGCATATGATTTAGAAAAGACATTAAGTGACAAATCCTAAGATTATCAACAGGGAATAAAAATTAAAATGACCTTGTCATCTCACCATGGAGAAAAGTAATGTTTTTTTAGGGAATTAACTAAACTTAATAATTAGAATGCCATTATAGCTAGGCCATGTAAATGTATTCACTTTGACAAAAACATTATAGCTGTATAGAATCTAGGCCTGTTCACATCAGGACCAAGTAAGACTCATTGACATATATAATCAGTTCTCAAACTACTTGATGTAGAAAACATACAATCCTGACATCACAGGTAGTTCCTGATGCAAAACTATCTATCATGGGTGTAAGTTCATTCTTATATGAACAGGGACTGAAATCACTAATGTCAGAAATTTCAAACCAGATTCAATTACCAGAATGATACTATTACATTCATTGTATATACAGTTATGGAACAATTACTTCTACATTTACAAGATGTCAACATTTCTAGAAATACATTAGTTTGAAAACAACTCAAAGAGATACCATCATGAAATCATTGTAAACAATTTTCTGATTCAATGAAGACCATGAAAAGTAATGTGAGAGAATCAACTCGAAAATCAAAGCAACAAATTTAAGGTACTCAAAGGCAGTTGAAATTCAGTGATCAACACAGTTAAGATGATGATGATGGCTCCAAAGCTCCAGGCTGAGATATGGCCAAAACTGCTTGTGATGCTGAGTTTGTTGATATTTTGTCATGTGGAGGCTCATGAAACTGTTCAGTTGACAGGGGGCATGTGCTCATTCAATGTTCCCCACACCTTGACCCAGCAGGGGTGCTGTGACAGCCGGGAAATCAGACAACTCGTAGAAAGCCTCAAATCAAGAGTAAACGGTAAGAATATTTAATCTACCTCTTTCTCTCATAAAATAAATAAATAAATAAATAAATAAATAAATAAATAAATAAATAAATAAATAATGATAATAATTCTGAGCAGGTGAAGGCACACTACACTTTCAGCATCTTATCAGAGGATTGACATTTGAACCTATTTAACAAAAACTATTTCAGTATTTTTTAGTGTGGTCTGTGAAAAAATAATTATTTGATCATAGTCTGCAAGCAGCAACCACACTGGACAGAAGTTACATCTTCTTTAATTTACTGATTTTATATATTCTGTTTAATCTTTTTTTAAGCATTGGAATCAGGCAAACCAGACAAATGGCGCCTGGTTTTCAAGGCAGTGGCAGGTGCAGGTGGTGACATCTATCAGCTGTGGACCTCCAATCAAGCTTTGAACGAAGATAACCCCAAAGCCAAACAGCTTAATGACGATTTGTTAGCACACTTCAAGTCTTCTGCAGTTAACAACTGGGCAAGTCAGAAAATCAAATATGTGAGTAAGCCGTTAGTTTTTAGTCCTTGTTAAAATATCCATACAAAAACAATTAAATAAACAGTTTAAAGAAAGTAATTTTTCTGAATATAAAGTAAGTTATAAAAGTCTAGTTCTCACTTACTACAGTGTACTGCATCTAAGTACACTTTACATTAGATACAGAAAATGCCTGGTGCATATATATAAATATATATAATTTTTTTTTTTATATAAAGGGGGAGGGGCGCTAATTCAGACAGTCTAGTCTAGTCAACCTCACCTTTCTGGGGTGCTGAAAGCTTGCATATGTAGAAACAATACCTTTCACTGCCAGACCATGTATTTTACCCTTGTTTCAACCCTTTAAATGCTAAGTGCCTGGGGAGACAGCAGGTACTGTTTATAAAGAACTGCTACATTGTACGTCTTGTCACTAGACAGGTTCAAACCCATGCCCCATCTTGGGTGTGGACTACTTTGACCTCAGGACATCTGGTAGAATTGGTACTGTAGGTAAAATGCTTTTTCTACTTATAATTTCAGGTAAAAGTTGTCCTTTATCAGGCTGGTATAGAACGCCTTGTGCTGGTTTTTAATGCTGTGGGAAGTGACAAGATGTCTTGGTTTACCAGGGGCAGACTGATCTCTTCTCCATATGTAGACATTAAAACAGCTTCAACTTCTACATTAGGCTATTATTTTAGCATTCAAGGTCACGTGATGTATGTTCTATTGTCTGTCTGACTATCTATCTGTCTAAACATCTATTTGATAGCCCCTTCCCCCACTAAACGTGACTGTTGCAGTAATAGGAAATTAGCATCAATTTGAAATATTACTGTCAATTTTCCATTGTTGACTCCTGCGACACATATACTTTACTGCAATACCTTAACGATCAAACTTAACATACGTAATCAAATAGTTTTATAATTCATCATAAACAATTCTTACTATTCTTAATTTGTAAATAATTATAAATTTATTTAATGATTTACAGCTCAGCTCATCTACGTTATTTCTACATCAATAAGTCCTATAATACATGTGATGATGATGTTGGCTGGCTGAGTGTGGTAAATAGAGGACTTTGTGCCTATGAGATAGTCCCCAGGTATCCTGCATTCATCTATGCCCCGGGGCACACTGCCATACGTTTTGCAAAAGGTGGGTTATTTTAAAGGTCTATCATTTGCCTCGTTCACCCGCAGGATGATTTATTTTTTCAAAAAAAGAAGCCATTATTATACCAGTAGTTCAAGTGCTTCAAAAGTTTCTTAAAGTTACATACGAACCGAGCATCAGTGGAGCTTGGATTCCCAGTAACACATGTAAACCACTTCTACTATTTTCTTATACGACTCACATAAATTGGACATGCCAAGGGATAAACTGAAAAGATCACTTGATCAGCCATAAAAGAGCTTTAGACTGCTCCTTTCTTTAAATTTTTGGTCGGAAATTTAACCTACTTTCGTGACCTACTTTTCTGCCCCATTGACATACAGCATAGAATGCTAGCAGAAAAACCCGTTCAAACATCATTTTAGGGTAAAATTAAATAATGCCTTTTGTTAATTCTCTTAGTTATACTACTTGAAACTATATGCTGGCATTTGGTCGGTTTTTGTGACAAAAAATTGACTTTGTATGCATCTTTAATGCAAACTTATTAATAGTGCTGAACTCTATGCATAAATAATGTTGCTATTAGCATTCCTTTTTGTGAAATATGCATTCATTTGTAATTCCATAATGTTCACTAAAATATTATGGAATTACAACTGACAGAAATATGTTTGTTCACCTAAATCAATACAATTTAGTACAAGCAAATATTAATCAATTTCCTCTTTTGATTATTTCCTATTTTCCATAATTATATTGAGTAAATCCAAAATTAGAAGTGATCTCTTTTAAAAGCATCTTTTGTATATTTCAGGTACCCAAGCATATGCTGATGTTTTTGCCATCTTCACAGCAACAAAATAAACAAGTTAAGCTCTGACAGATAATCTTGATCTTGTCAGATTTTAGTGAACGATTTAAATCAATACCACTATGCTTAAATACATGTACATGTGCTTTATATGTATTCTGACTTGATCATGGAGATATTGGAATCTTACCAATACAAAGAATAAAATCACAGATATTAATAAACATCTTTGAAACTGAAACTGTGTGCAAGTTATCCTTATTGTAATTTTTCTTGCACTGCTTAATCTATCCAGGAACATGGAGTTATTTTACACTAGTTTTCATCGATCTTCACTTCAAAGTGGTATGTGACAGTGAACAAACTTAAGTTTACTTGGGATTATGCTATCCCAACTGTCTGTCCACCAATGCCTATGAAATGTCTGATATCGGTATCTCCTCCTAAACAATGAGTGTGAGGAACTTGAAACTTTAGAAATCAATACACCTGTTATTAGAGATATGTGCATGGGCCCTTTAAAATTTTCAATAGTGCAATTGGGAGTTGAACTGTCTCTAGAGGTACACGTAGCTGATTCTATTATTTATTTTTTCAACAATTTTTTTCATCCATACTTTAAAATAGCCAATGTCCACCAATCTGTCGTAAACATCCAGTAATACAGGGACTGACAGAGGCAATCTTCTGGGACTTCTGGAGAGTTTTTCAAGTCTACATTGTCAGGCATTATTTTTTTTTGTCTGTAGGAAGATGGGCATAATGGAGGATAGATCAACAAAGATAACTTGGAATTCTGTGAGAAAATATCTCTGGATTTCCCTCTGTAAATAACTTGATAAGTTTACTGAAAACTGCCAGATCCACTATGACCATGAAGTCACAGATACTATCAGCTAAAACCATGAGACTAAGGGTGCTTTCCAAAGATTTAGATCGATATAAAGATTAAGATTTAGATCGACCTAACTCCCTGGGGGTTCACGCTAAATTGCAGTCAGCTGAGCGGGCACCATAGTTAATTACCCCCTTACAGCTTTTAGTAGGCAGGACAGACGCTTAAGCCGGCCAAGCTGACAGTAATCTAGTGAGACTCCCCACAGGGATAGATCGATCTAAAAATCTATGGAAATGGGGTGTAAGAAACCACCTCCAGTCTTCTTGGAGAGGACAATCAGACTTGTTAATGCAAATCCAAAAATAGAAAAAGGAAATTCAGTGTAATATATTTATCAAAAGTTGCCTCACCATCATTGTAGCATGTTAGATTGGAATCCAACACTATGACAGGGAGTTTATCTGGACAGGCCACACTGTAGACATGTAGAATGGTCTCCGTAATGTGCTGTAAGGAATAAATTACAGACTGAAATTACTCATTCAAAAAAAAAAAAAAAAAAAAAAAAAGGGTGAAGTCCTTTTTTTAAAAAAGTGAAGTTCTTTTTTAAAAAAAAAAGTGTTAAAGTAGATGATCCACAATGATAATACCTTGGTACCCAGGGATACATAAATTAGAACCACAGTCAGCAATGCAGCAATTAATGTTTCTAGAGAAAAGAATCTGTACATTTATGTATAACTACCTGAAAATGATGAGAAGATCATTCTAAATAGCGAGATGAGTGAAAATTTATTTTTCAACACCCAAAATATTGGAATTTAACAATCTTAACAGAAACAACAACACAAAAGAACAGAAAACAGTAACAAAAGTGTGGATACTCATGCACATATTTCAGTTTTAAAAAAAACTGATACTTTCTCTCTTTTTAGTTACTTCCTCCGCAAATACTTCTGCAAAAGATTGACTGCTGCTTAGTGCTTATGTGCATTGATTAAGGTTTTCACATAAATTTGTCCCCTGCAATTAAAATGACCACTGTTCTACTCACTTGTTCTACTGTCACTGCCTCTTCATTCTCAAACAGTACATAGTTCAGATAGTGAATGAGTCCTTTGCCAACACTGTTCTCAGAGATCTGTTCAAGAAACAAAAGACAAACAAAGAGTATATCAACAATCTAAAGCACAGATGGGGTGAAAATATTGTAAAAGATTTTAGGCATAGTTGAGTTACTTCAGACTGTCTTGTATGATCCCCATTCTATGGTTGTGACATGATGGCACTTCACAGATTTCTACCCTAGGTTCTAGATTCCGGTATTGTCAGCTCGATCTTGATTTCATATATAACCCATATCAACAATACCTACTAAAAGCGACTCCATCACAAGGTATATATTTAACAAGCTAGCTTTTACGTTGCTCTGACACTCAGGGTACAGATTTCAGGCCCATTGCCAGAAATTCCAAAAGGGGGGACCTCTTTCTGAAAAAGTGGACCTTTTAACATGAAACCTTCATGTACCAAGAGATAAATTTACCCAGAGGGGACCTTTTCAATGCAAAAAGGGTGGTTCTTTTGAACCCCCCCCCCCCCCACCCCCGGCTACTGGCCTGGACTTCCAAGATGAAAGTGGTCTTACCTTTTCTTTCGGCTGTGGGGGAAAAAGCCGGGACATTATTTCTCCAACAGTCAGGTCAGACATGATGTAATACGGCAGGGCCAGCTCATAGTGTTCAGACTGGGGGCTGGAACAGAACATACACACTGTCATCCATCATATTTCCCTGGTAGTAACTCAAGGGGTCCTTTTGCTTCATCTTCGCGCCATCAGTTTATTCACTCCAAAATAGCGCTGACGTAGGTAAAAATGAAATCCACTGCCTTAAATTTTTTAAAGTCAAGTAATGAACTTTTCTTTAAGAATTTAATTTGTAACTATTTCAAGATTGTGAACACATGAGCCTGGCTCACAAAAAAGGCAGAAGTCTGTACAGTGCTAGAGAAACCTACAATCACAGCAGCTAAATGGATCAGGCAATCTTAATTTTCAAACACATTTTCAAGAAAGAAATGATGATTTGACAGATACAAAATAGTGCAACTTTAGTGAGACTCTGAGTAAGACTGTATGTAAGGTTATAAAAGTTGCTTCAATCCACCATTTTTGTCTCATTAAAAGGAGAATGTTTAGCCTGGTCCTCCCCTCTACGTTCACTTTTTTTTTTTTTTTTTTTGTGCATGTACCTGGCATAATACTCCCCCAGCAGGGCGCACGACTCCAGATAGAGATCATGAGAAGACTTGTTGTCAGCGCCCCCTATCAGCATGTTTTGTTTCAGTGCTATATGAGCCTCTTGGATCAACTGGAGGTAAGCTGGTGGGTTGCCCTGTTTGTTCCTCATACCCATTTCTACCTGAAAGACAACAGGTGAGTGGTCTCATCTGCTTAGTTTGTATTTGGAAAGAATTTGTAAGTCATTGTGCTAGGTGTGAAACCAAGTGATTCATTGTGTTGGGAGTGCTGGCATGTAATTTAATGTGATAGGGGTGACGTGGTACAAGCTGCTGAGTAAGACATGCATTGATTGTCACTAAGTTTTAAATGTATTACTATAAATTAAGGTGTTTTGTGCAATATCATTTAAGGCAATGTGAAAGGGTGTGTTCCCAATAAAACCATACTATGTAGGTCCTTCCAAATCCATGAGGACTTTCTGAATACTAAAACTAAATGACAGGCCTCCTTGAGGAGCTAGGGGGTGATTAACCTTCATTTGTGCTTGGTTTTTGGAAACTTTTTCACTTTTTTTTGACACAACCAAATGCACACTAAATTTAATCACCCTCTAGCTGCTAGAGAGGACTTGTGATTTTGTTAATATGATGGCATTCAGCAAGAGTCCCCGCAGAGTTGGATCCATCTACCTACTACCAGTTTCTTTCTGAAAGCACCCGATGACTTCTATAGAGCATTCTGTAACTGAGCCATTGTGTTAGATGAGATGTTGTGTAAGTCATTGTAAGTCATTGTTTTGGCAATGACAGTGAGGTCACCTACCATGTCCCTGTAAATATCCTGGACTGTGCTGTTCTCCAGAGCATACAGACTCCATTCCATACGAGTTCTGAAAATATTGTAAAGAAGCAATGAACTTTTTTTCAGTTTAATCCTGACATATGGTCAACTTTCTTTTAAGCCATGTGAACATCAGATATAATTTTTTCTTATTTATTTATCATAAAAATTTCAGAACTTTTTTTTATTACTTTTGTTTCACAATTTATACTCCATATTAAACCTTAATGATGGCAAATAGACAATATGCATATAAAAAAAACAGAGGATCGATTTATCTTGACAAATTTGTGGTTTGAAAAGAAAATATTTGCCAAAATCCATTGTTAAGATGTGGTAGCAATCTGGTACCGTACAAAGTCAGTAATATTAACTAATAAATATAACACCATCATGAAGTGTTTTTTGAAAGTCTTGGACAAATGTCATCATGATTATCACCATGAGGACATCCCTGAAGGCAAAATTACTCATCAAAATCAACCAAAATAAAAATATATATATTTTTCCCCTTATATGTATTTTGTCAGTAATTCATGATACATACTTATTTTTGTCAATTCAATATTTCTGAACTTAGTTTGACTTATATCAGAAAGTACACTTTTGTGAATAACTAATGATAAACTTTGAAAAGAAAAAAATCATCGTGCAGGAATGAATCAGATGTTTGAAAAATTTAAGAAATTACTGCCTTCTTTATTCACTGGCAAATGCAGCTGCTTTATACTCATGAATTAAGTTTTTAAAATTCTATTACCGGAATTTTATCATTATAGTTTAATGAGTTGCCTCCTTCAAGTGGAGGCTTCAACTGGTCTGACAGATACAACATCATCAACAGAACTATAAAAATTTAAGTCTGATAACAGATTAAAAAAAAAAAATTAACCACTGTAAAATATGACCCCCTGCCTAACCTACACAGTTGAATAAAAGAAATATAGATGGTACCTTGGATACTTAAACTGGCCTAGCTCATACACTGGGGTGAGTTTAACGTTCACAGGAACGCCCCCTCTTTTCTTAACCTGCAATGAACTGCCCTTTTCTCCTCTGTTACTGTATGAAAAACTACAACAGACAAAAGAACACCAAGAAAAATGAGTCAGAGGAAAGATAAAGAGTTAAAGAATTCAACAGGATAGAATACACCAGGAAGTATTAAGGAAAATATAAGTGTAGGCTCAGGCATGACAATTTTTTTCCATTTTGATGATACCCAAAAAGAAAGAATCAGAGGTTCTAAAAAGAATACTGGGTTCATTTAAGAGTGTATGTTTTATGCCAGTAATTAAATAAAAACAATGAATTAGGCACGGGTCTCAAATTTGTCAAGCAGTTATTACCATAAGTCAAGCAAATATGTAAAGCTGCTCCTTAAAAGATTAAATATGAGCCATAAAACATACTGAGGTATGAACAGAAAAAAAGATCATAACATACTAGAAGTCAGAAGCCATGCAAGAAGAATATGCCTTGAGACAAAGCTGCATCTCATAACTTTAATAGCAACCAGGAGAACAAACAACTCAGGAAAACTGAAGCAATGGATATATAAGAACAAAGCACTAGGTATATAACCACATAAGACAGAAATACCTTCATAACTACTTCCATAGCCTCTGATGACATATCCCCCATTTTTCTCTTATTCCATACAATAACAGGGCAGGAAATAATTTATACTTTTACTTATTTTTATATTATGACAGGGGAAATCGTCCAAAAAGAATTAAAGAGATTTACCATCCCTGGATAAGGAAAAAGTGCAAGGGAGCTGCATGGCTATATATTGATATCAAATGTCAAAAGGAGGTACATGTTCATGTAAAATCAAGAAAGGGAGATGGTAAAATGGGATAAAATTCAAGCATGGATTATACTGCACTACTTGGACACCTTCCATTAAAGGGACTGACGCATTTAATCTTCAAACAAAATCATGAGTTAGAAATTATACTTACATGTATATTAAATAGAGCAAAGAACTAAATAATAACGTAACTGCTGTAAAGGACACTGAGCAACATATATGGGAAGAATTAAAAATGTTAATCCTTTAATCCTGTTAATCCAATAAAAGTAATCAAAAAGCTTTAAGAAAAAGCACAAGGTAAGCTCTATTCAATATGCAAAACCATGGTCTCAGACACACAAAAACATGCATCAGATCGGGTGCTCAAAGTCAATCATTTAAGGCCACAAAAATCTATAGGAATAGTTGAAAGTCAAACCATAAATAGCTTAGTAAGTACGTATGATTTGTTAAATATATATATGTATGCAAAGCTAAATCAAACTGTGTTATTTATATAATATAAATTTAATACAAGTATAACAGGTATGAAACTTGAAAACAATTTAAGTTCATTTTTGTTTAAAAAAAAAAAAACGGCACAAATGCACCACTTTTTCTGATTACTTAATAATAAATAAATGTTAGTTATGTTTATTCAAGACATGAATCAAGCTTTAATATTTTGAAGCTTTTTAAAAATAAATACCACACACAAAGTTATCCAATGAAGTTAATAGTTAAGCCATAATATTGATATCAGATAAAGGTATCAAAGTATATTGATCTATGTGCAATTAATATTACACACTCTGAAATGGACAAAAGTTTTATAAAAGAAAAAGTAGCTATTTATGAGAAAAATACTGCCACCTCAGGGCATGCGACTATATTAAGTTTTGTGGTGCGACACTCGTAAAGGGCACGTCATATTATGATAAAGCAGTTAATTCAACTAGTTTTAGTTTAGAAACTATGTGAGTGCCACTAAACATTTTCACATATATTCTGTACATATAGAAAACCATTACTAAAAGAAGAAAACACACAAAGCCTAATATCACAATATCATGGGGTGGCACTTCTAGCATGGCTATTAATGGAAGACACTGCCCATATAGCATTTTGTTTGGGTGAACTGTACAACTGATGATGTCTTTATATAAAAATTTATATCAACCAATGGATTACCTGCTGCTGAGATCTTTGGACAGTAGAATCGTATGACTTGGTGTACAAAATACATCTCCCAGCCCTATGAATGGTTGCATCCCAATGAGGCATATCTCTAGGCTGTGAGGTGGAGACGCCTGGAAGAAAAAAAAATTATGGGTTATTGGCCTTCTGTATGACCACGTGCACGACTTCTGACAGAAGATGAGGCTCGTTGCAGGTTTGAAATGAGTTTGAACCCCTCCCACCCCCCACCCCCACCCCAACCCCCCCAGCCACCAATCTCTGCAGTGCCTACATGGAGAAGCACTTTCAGTGGCAGATACAGCACGGGAAGGGCAGCACAACACAGACACTTACCTTGTGTATTCCATCAAAAGTTTCTGTATGATGTAATGCAGCCAGGGAGCTCCTGGAGGTATATGTTTCCAGACCAGTCTCGGTGACAGCATGGAGGAAATGAGGGCCAACAGTGACCTGAGAAAACAGGATGAAAGGACTGAACCAAACAAGGTCTAAAATATGTGGTTCAGGGCATACGACAGACCTAATGTCACGCAACACAGAGATCTTCGATTTTTTTATACATTCAGTGATTCCACACATACAACACGGTTATATTTATTTATTTATTTATTTATTTTGGGGGGGTCCACAGTCTGCTCCTACCTTCTTGGCATTAATTGTGTAAGGGTACTCTGGAAGCGCATCTACCTTGGGACTGACGGTGTACATGTAGCCCACTCTCTTTCCGCTGACAAACACAGACATTCCTGTCAAACCCTCTGAGGACTGGCAAGAAAATGGTCCACTTGGAATATAGGTGGCAGCAGGCTCTGGAAGTCATATCATGTTTAAATTTTTTATTTTTTCATTATAATTTGCAACTAATAATCATATCTCTGTCAAACTCTACTGATTTGGAATAACAGGAATAATAATAAAAAAATTTCATTAGGTTATCACGGGCGGACCCAGAGATATTTTCTGACAGTCTTCCACATTATCTTTGTTGATCCATCTAAAATTTTTGACCGTCTTCTGACAGAAAAATTTAGGTACTCATCAATGTAAACTTAGAAATTTGACCGTCTTCCGGAAGACCCAGAAGACCGCCTCAATCCGCCCCCGGTTATATCCTCATCAAATCAAAATTATAATTTTTAAAAAATTTTATGGCTCCCACCCTGCCTGTACAAAATATCCAACATAAAACAAAGCTAAAACCGTTTTCCACTTGTTTTTACCTTTTGTATAGGTTGGCAAAAGTTGCAGAGAATGAAGTTGAAACAGAGTCAATCCAAATCTTCGACACAGCAAGTTCACTGCATGGAAGTCAGGCACTCCTTCAGCTGAAAGTGGGTTAATAATGAAAGTGAAAGCGGGATGATGATGATTATAAAGGTGAAAGTAGTGTCATATATGACATATGGGACAATCAGGACCATCAGGAAAAATTCAAACATATTGAAAGTGTGGTGATAATGAAGAGTGAAAGCTGGTTGATAATGAAATTGAAACTGAGATGATAATGAAAGTGAAAATGGTGTCATATGAATATAGGACTACACCTGGTCACCATGGCCCTCCATCAGGTGCAATATGAAAGAATAACAAGTGGTGAAACTTGATAAATGATAAGGAATGTTTGATTTAGGAAATGATTGAAGAAAGGGCTGATAACGGACATCACTTAGTGTACACTGTTACCTGTCATTTATCACATGGATATACTATAAAACAGTCACCAGAAAGAAGAATAAATTGGTTTATACAATAAAAAACACATTTATTTAGTTCAATGGCAAAAAGAAAAAAAAACAAAGGTAGAAATAGACAATAATTTCATTAAGTTTTAATTAAATAGATACAAAAAAATCATTAAATTAGTTTGGCTTCAGTTGACATTATTTATATCTCCTAAGGACATGAGGAAGATGTTTTTCCTTCATTGAAGGACGAAATTTCTTTAGCATCTATTTTCACTGACCACAATTACTTTACTGACCGTGCAGTTTAATCTGTACTGCGGCCAGGGGGTGGTCAGCCCGTACTGGACCTAGGAGCTCAGTGGCTGAGGGCTCATCTAGCTGGCTACTTCTCACTTTCTCAAGGTGATCAAGGACGATGTTCCTGGGAACAGATTGTTTGGACATGCGTCCCCCTAGCAACAAATTTTAGCATGAAGTCAGAGTGAGATAGGCATTTCTCTACATTGTGTTTGAGTAAAGCGTGTTGCAAAAATATCATAAATATGACAGAAACTAATAGACTCTGAATAGATTCCCTGCGAGGATTATGCGGCAAGCTTACAAGTGGGTCAGCGATATTTGATCCACAGATCTGTTTAGTGTTAGTCTTTTCAAATCATTTTTTTTTTCTTTAACTTGGTGAAATAGGTTTGTCTTTTCAAAATTAAAAATCATGTCTCACAGATCAAAAACATGTATTTAGAAATGATACTCTTGTTTACCTTTATCACAAATCATACATCTTGAAACAATTTAATATCTGAAATATATGATAAAAATATCCATACCTTGCATGGGCAACACGATCTCCACCTCCCCCTCCTCAAAACCCCACTCTGTGCAATACTCATCTTCAACTTGGTGCTCCAAAATTCCTGAAAAAAAAAAAGACAAGATTTGTTACCTATGGTGAATTAATTGTAATAACCAGCCAACTCTGGTTGGTCCATACTGAGATAGGAAGTCTAAATTGATTGGAAATATTACTTCAGAAGAAAGAAGTTAATAACTCTTATTATGCTTCAAGTTCTAGTGCATGAATACATTTAAGCTGAAAAAGATCAGTCACGAGTTATATACAATTATGAATAAAAAAGAAACTTTATAAACCACTTCCTTATCACCTCTGAAAAAATAAAAATAATAACCTGACATGTCCGATGACTTTGTGGACAACGTTGGACTAGAAGACAAATCGGATGATGTTGCGTCTGCTTCAGAATCATTCAATGACAACAACAGTTTACTAGTGCTACCATCTCTCTCTTTATTCCTATGCTGTAAGATATGCTTAAGTATGTACTTTGACTCGTCCGTTGGTTCAGCTTGTAGAGGCGAGACCGTCATTGCTACCTCTGAGAGTAGCGCCAGGTCTGAACACAGCTTAATAACCTGAATAACGTTCTGAGATGCTGCTGCGATGAAATTTTCATGTATAGCTACCTCAATGACGGCAAAAGTAAGTGATATGTCAAAAAGGTGCTCAACATCGTGGAAAATGTCACCAGAACTTGAGGCCGCGGTGCTGGAAATGAACTCTTCTGTGACTCGATGTACACTGACCACGGTGTCATAGCCTACGGCCAAATGACCACTGACTGGACAAACACTGAGACACATTGGCTGACGAGGGGTGGGGATTTCTATCACCTCTAACTGAGGACTACTCTGATTGGTCCGGCTCCTCCTGTTTCCATGGTGACCTGCAAGGCGTACTTTCATTTGACCGTGGCTACCACAGTGGAGGTCCCAGTTGACATAGACGCGAGCAAACGTGAAAGTAACATTTCGCGACATCTTAAACTCCAGCGTGGCCAAAAACTTTCCTGCAACAAATTTATACACTGTACATACATGGGTATAAAGTTTAAAACAAGCATGGGTACAAGTCTACTTTGCTTCGATTTTAGAATGATCATTTTTTAAAAACAATTGCAATTTATCACATATAATATAAAAATATAATATTTTCCTTAATTCTAACAGTTGATGGGTGACTCCATCATTTTATCTGATCTTATTCACAATTAACCTGGTCATTATAATTTTTTAACAGGGCTCCTAAATCTTACAAAAATAGAACAATCCCCAAATTTTTTATTTGGGGTCCAAATTGGTTGTACCTTGTTTGCTGTAAAACAACTGCTTAGCGGGGGATATATTGGGCACTTGGAACACAAGAGGACATCCTTTTTCTTTCAAAGAATGGACATCTATGCTGCAGCTAGTGGTTGTAACGAACACGTAGTCATCAGTAGCACACATGCACAGTGGCTCCCCCTGTGTGCTAAACACATCCTGTGACGCAAAGTGATGGCAACAGAGGACTTTCACCATGGTTGATTCACACTGGAGATAGAAATAGTACATACATACAGAACTACATATATATAAAAAAGACAAAAAATTTAATCAATAACTGTTATATATATATATATATATATATATATATGGATTTGTGGTGTATGATTTGTGAAAATAATGTCTCACTATGTTGAAGACCCCATTCACATACCTAGATCGATGTACAAGGTGATTCTTATAAGCTGAATGAAGCTGCTAAATGATAGTTAATTACCACCAGCAGTTGGTATCGAACCGGCAGCGAAGGCCCTATACACACTTGCCAAGTCAGTGAAATTAAAAACGACCTAAAGTGATTGCTTCAGTACGTGTGAGGATGCCTTAATTACTTCTGTTCAACACTTACCGCAGACGGGAATACTACACGAAAATTCACGCGTTAGCTCTCCTATTTATGGTCCCTACCATGTACTGTAATTTATGGACTAACTTCGAAGTAAGGCATATAACACATAGGTTTAAAGTGAGAGTACGAGTCTAAGGGCCAGAGGCAGAGTGCTGCATTTTGAACTTCCTCGAATATGTATTCAGTCACTGCCGACTAACAAACAAAGGCACGCTATATATGTTTCTGAAAGCATTAAAAAGACAAAATATCTCATTTTTACATGAAATACTTTCTTCCTGCCGCGACAATCAAGTCTTAATTGCTCTGAACACTTACTTGTGACTTTCCACCGGCTTGATGTTTTGGTCATGTGACATTTCTTCGATTGCGACTGAGGAAACGGGAAGGAAAGAGCACAGCACAGCAACCGCAATTGTGCAAGCCTTGGACAAACGTGTTTCAATCTCGAGCATTTCATACACCCCTGTTTGTTTGTCTGTCTGTCTGTCTGTCTGTTTGTTTGTTTGTCTGTCATCAACATAACTCAAAAAGTTATGGACCGATTTTGATGAAACTTTCAGGAACTGTCAGAAGTGGACCAAGGAAGAGATGATTAGTTTTTGGTGGTGATCCGGATCAATAGGCCTAATCAATCAATAATCAATAAAAATCAGAAATTGCTACCTTGGTGGAGGTCTGCGCTCTCGGGATGCTTTTCTAGTTTCTTATTCAATATTGAGCTTATCTTACACTGATTAAAAACATAAATTATGATAACTTTTGACATGTGACATCTTATTATAGAGTATTGTTCTTTTCTTAATACAAATGTTAATCCATTAATTTATTTATAGAGAAGTGCATCATATTGCATCATAATTGATAGAAACCAATGTGAAGGCCAGGCCAACTGAAGCGCGCTCGCGCGGGCTTGTGTGTGTGTGTGTGTGTGTGTGTGAGAGAGAGAGAGAGAGAGAGAGAGAGAGAGAGAGAGAGAAAATGTGTGTGCAAATGTTCGCATGTGCGTCTGTGCATTAGTGTGTGCATAAGAGCGATCTGCAGGGATAATGTGTGTGTGCAAATGTTCGCGCGTGGGCCTGTGCCTTAGTGTGTGCATAAGAGCGATCTGCAGGGATTACAAAGATGTCTTTTAGCCCTCTAGTTCAACAGCATCAAGCTATCAGCATTCTAAAGACTTCGCTATTGAAAAAATGAAGATATGTTTTGTTTTGTTTTTTTATTTCACACAGTGCGCATTTCTGAGCTGTGTCATATTAATATGCAAATTGCAAATTGCTCTATTTTCGTCGCTGATCCATTAACAGCATAATTGTCTATTTTCACACGAATCATTAACGTTGACATTTTTCGCACAATTATTATATCGAGTTGGGGATTGTTTGTAGAATTTTGGACCTAAAAGAGAAATACATTTTCCCTGGTCACCCTTGCTCATTACTTTGGCTCTCTCAGGGTGTGTTAACAATGAAACTATTCGACGTTACTCCGCTGAGACTCTTGCTGGATGCAATCAAATTTAAACATTTATACGCCTCTTTTTGTTTCCAATGTACGCGTATAATCACCAGCTTTTTCTATATTCTTCACAACGTCAGGAAGAGGCGTATTAATCTTTTACTGAATTTGATTGCAGTCAGTGAGAGTCCCCGCGGAGTTATTCCGAAGAGCCCAGTAGTGCGATAGTTTCATTGTGAATGCACCTTAAATTCCATAGGACTAATATTTAAGCGGTTCAGTACAAGTAAAAGGTGCGACACATTCACCATTTTCTGCATTTTCTTTCATTGTCTTCTACTTTTTTTTGTCATTTTTGCAGTTCAAAGGGAATGACGAAACACGTCTTTGCGACATAAAAAAGGCAATATAAAAATACCACAATTGGCAAATTGTTCCTGTCGCACTTAAAATGATATCAAATTTCAAGCATAAGTCGACTAGTAGCAACATGTAAATAATTACAAAAAGCTAAGCTATATCAATAGCCTTTGGACAATTCAATCAGCATTCACACCTTTGCAGCGCAGTTCTCTTAACCCTTACCCCATAACATTCAAATATATCCTTAAAAATAGAACAAATTTCGAACATTAAGTCAGTATTTGCTCCCGCGATCAGATAATTTTCAGTTGTGGATATCGTTACGGACACATTCAGTTCTACTATAGAAAATCGCATGACGTATTCTTTCACTCGCGCAATGTTTTGTTTGTCGTCGCATACCTACTAGGAAAACATCTATTCATCATGCTGCGGGAAAGAGTCGAGTGTATAGACTGTCTCTCTAAGTGTTAACCTTGAATGGAACACTCGGATTAAAATCGATGGAAGCTAAACAATGGGTTTTTGTGAAACGCAGGTCAACCGAGGATTATTTTATTTAACAATGATGACCTGTTGAGGTCACTGTGGCAGTGACGATATGATTTGCACATTAAATATGACGAAATTGGTTTGCTGTGATTAAATTTGCAGCATGGGATTTTAATATTGTAACAGCTAGTAACGTTTACATAACTTAAAAATGGTACTATAGATTTATCAGCGGAAAACACCCAACTGTTTTTAAAATGAAATAAAAATGAAACGATGCGATACCTCGATTCGAAAAAAACAACAACAATAAAAAATAATAAAAATAAAAAATAAACAAAATAGTGCGTTGCTACTGGCCAAAACATAATTTATAACCTTTCACGTTTAATATATGTATAATGTATCTGTCACTCAGAATATTTCAACATACTGAACATTCATCTTTATTTGTCTTCAGTTCCCTTATGTGCCTCTTGGCCTGGTATCAATACGCGGCTTGAGTCAATACGCTCTACATTTGTATTGAGCGGGTTGTTTGCTGAGTAAAAAAAAAGCACGGAGCTTACCATTAGCGCTATTCTGTTACCTCCGTAGCCTTACTGGGGACGCACGCCCGACAGATATTGTGTCACCTAGCCCTGCTGGACAGGGCCTGTCTTCTTGTATATCTGTCAAGGCTATAGCTGGAGTTGAATTCTTGGAGAGAGTCTAAATAATTTGAACAACGTCTAGTGAGCTATACCGAGGAAAAACAACTCTGAGAGACAAGAAGACAATTGACAGGAGACTTCCTTTCCAACGTGCGATGGTAAGATTACAGTGTACGAATTTAATTTGGTGGATGGTTGTGATGTAAAAAAATTAAACCAGGCGGGTATGTGTGACAGGCAATACGAAATTTGTTCAACTGCTACAGTATATGACCCAGGTGATAAATCGCGTATCTTGTTCAAACGGTACAAGTCAAGTTGACATTTATGCATGTCGACTTCACATATGTATATACCTTTACCTAAAGCGCATTAAAATGGTGAAAACGTTAGGAGAGAGAGAGAGAGAGAGAGAGAGAGAGAGAGAGAGATATTTAAATTTTGGGATGGCTAAACAACAAAATGGATTATACAACTGTAACAGCCTGCGACCCTTTCGGCTTCACAAACGGGCTTAGGCCTATTATGTTGAAAGGTTGAACACTGGAATCAACTTTAAGTCCCGGAAAATAAGGTGATAAATGTAGGACATTTATATGGATGAAGGTGTCGGGCGTGTTTAACAGTATTTCGAAATGACAAGTGTTTTTTATTTAGATTTGTAGTAATCGGATCAAGTCTTCATGGAGTAACACAGGTTTTATCCTCAGAAGGACAGTTGGTTTCAGTTTCAAGATCAGCTTTCGTTTTTGTAGAAAATTGCACTGTTTCAATGATCAGAATAATATACGAGGAAATAGTACCGGACAAATGAAAAAAAAAAAGATGTCGGATGTGCAAATGTGTCAGTAAGAACACATTCATTTCTACTTTAAACGCCAGCGCAACGCTCTGATAACTTTACAGTGCTGTGTTTTACATCGTGTACGTTTTAGGGTTCATTCCCAATGAAACTGTCGATCTACGTAGATCGATCCAACTCCGCAGAGAATCTCGCTGAATGCAATCAGATTAAGAGATCAACGCGCCTCCTCTTGTTTCAAACGTACTCGTATCATAACCAGTTTTCCTGTAATCTGCTGTTAAAACGCCAGGAGGAGCTCGAGGCTAGTCTGAGTTAATCTGATTGCATTCAGCTAGTGTCCCTGCGGAGTTGGATCGATTGGATCGTAGAACGACAGTTTCAAATAAAATGAGCTCTTACTCGTCCAAGATCAATAGTAGACCGTGTATTTGACAGTTTACATGGTAAAGAGATGTGATTACAGTTATCGTGTTACAAGACTTCTGGTTCCCGACACGTTTAGCTTCTACATGTATGTACCCTGTTTTTACTGTCTAAAGTAATAAGTAATGTTTAGTTAAAGTGAGAGTGCGTGGATTTTTCTTGGTCTTCAAAGCTGCCAGTTTCATTCTTAGATAGGTCCCAAGCCATACTGCCCCCCCCCCCCCCCCCCCCCATTTAAACTATGAAACCATCGCCCTTGATCTAAAATTACATTCGAACGCAATGTGAAAGTTCCTGGAAAAACATAGACTATCGACATTCAAGCCAGGTGAAGCCAGGTGAAGCCAGGTGAAGAAGAATGTTGTCTGGAAATGAGAGGATATGTGTGCAAGGTAAATCACAGAAGATGGTGGAGGACACCTGGGTGCTCTGTTTGTTACAGTATAATACGCTGAAAATCCCCATATCCTGTGCCTTGAAATAGTGGAATGTGAGCATACCTCATTTGCCCTCACATTTGCACTCATTTTTTTATATTTTTCACGAAGGAGACACGTACATGTACATATTGCAGTTATCTTTAGGATTTAAAAGACACCGTCTTTTAGGCTAATAAAGTGTCGGGGCGGAGTGAAGTTGTGATTGGCAACCCATTTTTTCTTGCCTTTCAATGCCTTATATATTTTGGAAAATAATCAGTCGTTATAAAATCACAGATTTTCAGGGATTAATGAGGAACATGCGATGAAGCATTTAGCGTCATAGGCCGCATTCACATCGAATTGAGCCATGGCTCTACAAAGCCACTACCTAAATATGGCGGACGTACATGAAAGGAAAACCGCCTAATCTTTTAATAGTCTCTCCGCCTCTCACAAGCCTCCCCATCCGTCGTTCCTGCGGGGGTACAGTCATCAAATCTAGGCTCCATTGGGGCAGCACATGGGGAGGCGTGTGAGAGGCGGAGAGACTATTAAAAGACTAGGCGGTTTTCCTTTCATGTACGTCCGCCCTATTTTAAGTCGTGGCTTTGTGGGGGCAAGGTCNCTCACAAGCCTCCCCATCCGTCGTTCCTGCGGGGGTACAGTCATCAAATCGAGGCTCCATTGGGGCAGCACATGGGGAGGCGTGTGAGAGGCGGAGAGACTATTAAAAGACTAGGCGGTTTTCCTTTCATGTACGTCCGCCATATTTAAGTCGTGGCTTTGTGGAGCCATGGCTCAACTCGATGTGAATGCGACCATAGATATTGGATTAGTCTTTTTTTTTCAAATTTATGATCCTCACTAAGCAGATAATTACTGAAAAAAATATTAAAAATGTTTCCAGATGACATTGAAACCATATCTAAAACAAAATAGGGAAGGGTTTTGTTTACATAATCTACAGGATATTGTCTTAGTAATTGCTTTAATTGTATTAATAAGTGCTTTAGTATGAGAGCAGAGCAAACGCTAAGCCAAAAAATGATATATTATCCCCAAACCATTATTGTTACATCATCAGGGAAATCGTTGAAAGAGTGTTTAACATAATAAATCTATTGACCTCAAATGTAAATTATGTAAAGTCTCATTATAGAAACGGTACACTTGACAAGCCTGTTTCATTAATCGATTTCACCTGTATAGAGTTTTTTAAAGGTCTTAAGGTATTTGTCCTACGAAGAGCGTTTTAGATATCTACGGGTATAGTGAGGTAACCATGCAAAATGGAGAGCGTGCTCATCATGCAATTCTATCTATTTCAGAAGACATTATACTCAATAGTAAATCAATAACTAATGTTTTATTTAAATGAAAAACGCCAACAAAACAAACCTACATTTCTGCATTTATCCCGAATGTTAGAATAGAATACAACTAAAATAAATGCCGCGTGGAAAAAATAACATGATCATGGATGAGAGAAGAATTTCATCGACCGTGTTAGCCATGTAAGGCATTATGCGAACAGCTGTTGGATGAAGAAAAAATACTGCTTTATTCTTATATGAATAAGACACTTCACAGTGAAAGAGATTTAGATCTTGATACAGCTGTATTAGAACACACGATAACTGTTCGACCAATAGCTTGGTCGCATAAGAAATAAAGTATAGATATTTACAACCAAGACTTTCGGAATTAAATTATTTGCTTGTTGAGGCATTGTATCACTTTAAATAATCATGCCGTATTTTAACGGTTTCATTCATGCTATTTTATTTCTCTTTTTAAAAATGCTGATTCTGTTTTGATTGTATTTTAAATCGTATAGTTCTCCAGGTAGGTCAAACCCACAGATGTTCACTGGGCCGCAGCTACACTTGGAGTTTGATTTTAATGTCTTTTATTTATCTATTCATTTTATATTTTGAAGCACGCCAAATCTCTTTAAAACTTTTTATTCTTGCACTCCATGCCTGGTTCAGAGTAGTTTTTTAGTTATTCGACGAAAAATAATTAAAGACAGAAAAACAGGCAAACATTTTTAGTTCCTGTGACAAACAGACGCAATATATAAAAATATCCGTATATTTTTGAGTATTGCAAGAAGTTCGCATAATGACATTGTACGCGAAAGTTATTATGTCGTTAAATTAGAGAATAGTTTCACAAAACCTTAAAACCTTAAAACAAATACCGAAAAAAAATCAGTCTATCTGTTGTTTGTTTCTGCTTGTAGAATGTATGGGTTTTCAAAGCGTAAAAGTTCTATGCTTTGTTTTTTTTTTTTTATTTTTTTATTTTTTTTTTTATAGCGACACCTTATATTTCTATTAAAGTGTAAGGCCTTTTTTCAAAATCTTGTTAGTGAAAATGCGTATCGTACGTCTCATTTTTCGCTTCTATCCTTGCTCTCTCACAGCTGGCTAGGTATTTGCAGTCGGTTCCTACACTACAATACATGTACGTGAGCACTATAGTTTTACAAAAGGTAAAAAAATATTTTACTAGTAATTAAATTTAGTTTGAGAGATATTTACAGAGTATTAATCACTTTGAATGTTTTTTTTTTCATTTTTTTTCGCTGACAATACTTATTTTTTGTTTGCCATAAAACTTGCTCACATTTTTACTTCATTGTTTTATTGATTTTTCGACCATGAGGTGACATAAATAAAGTACCATATCGATTTACAAGACAGGTATTTTTTCTTTTCAGAAAAGAAAAAAAACGCGATTTAATTAATTGAAAAAGCAAAAGGACAATTAAAACTTGTAAGAATCCATACAGCTACGCAAATCCATCTTTCGTAGCGGTGTTTCTGTCAATTTGACCGGAGGCGGATGATAGTTTGAAAAATGATATCAGTAAAGAAAATTACTACACGAACTTGATATTGGAGGAACTCGTATTTCAGATTGTATGAGAATAATCAGGATTTTACCCTAGAGTATTACTGTAAAAGTTAAACAACCATTCAAGCTTTTGAGGATCAATACAGCTGCGCAAACGGATATCTTTCCTAACGGTGTTTCCGTTATATTGACTGAAGGCAGGCGATATTTTAAGGAATGATATCAGTCAAGAAAATTATCAAATCTATTTGTATTTCAGATTTTTTATAATAAAACAGTCAGAAAAAAAAAGAAAAAAAATGAAATGGTACAATCATTTGGGAAAGCAAACATCAAGTAAAGCTGTAATGAGATTTTTTTTTTTTTTTTTTTTGATTAAGTCACGTTTCTACCAGTTTTGACTAAAAACTGTCTAGGCTAATATTCAGGAAATAAGCACATGATTGAAAACCCCACACCTGTGAAATCCCACTTACATGAGTTCAATAAACGGATGACAGGATTATGTTCATATTATAGACGTAGGGGGAGTTGTAATCAAGTGGCCGTTTCCTGAAGATGGACCTAGAAGTCATATCACTTAAAAATTGAGGCGATTACAAGCCGGACTGTAAGTGGTATGAATATATGAGTATTGATGGGAAGG